TTGGAGCTTATGTGTGAACTTTGTCTTTCCTTGAGCATCTTTCAGGCATTTACTGATATATCCTTTAAGTTCATTGGGCTGTCTGTGTCTTCTTTAAACTCTTTGGATTCTTCAATGATGTTTATAATTTTTTCCTTTACATTTCATCTAAATATCCTTCAGTGGGAAATGTTTCTATAGTACTAGTGATTGTTGGGGCTGGGCATGCTGTCTTGGTCATTCATAGCTGTATTTTTGCTATTTGACCTAGGCATGTGGATTTCTTTCCCTGATTCTGTGTCTGAAGTATGATTCTTCCCTGCTTCCTGCTGGGATGGTGCAAGAGCTGTATGGCCAGAGCTAGGCTTGGGTTCAGAGATGGAATGGTTAGTTTTGGTTCTGAGTAGGCTTACTAGGAAGATCCACTGTGAAAGCTGTACTTCTGGAGCCAGATGTGTGCAGATGGGCTTGGGGGACTCACCAGGAAATCCAGTGGGTGACTCTCGCTCCCAGAACGAGACCTGAGAGTGTAGGAATGCCACTTGCGGAATTGTGGGACTCTTCAGGGAAAACCAATCCGTGTGCCTGTGTTTAGCATTTTAAAGATAATAACAGACCCTCAAGTGGTCCTTTGAGATTTTAATGTTGTCACTGACACTTTTAAAGTGGTTACCAAGCATCATACATTCAACATCAGCTTCTTTACTTGTTAACCCCAAGAAATAAGATTCACCCCACTTTGTTAAAGAGGAGTCAGCGGCATGGAAAGTTAAGTTATTGGGGCGTGTGTGTGTGTGTGTGTGTGTGTGTGTGTGTGTGTGTATGTGTGTGTTTGTGTATGATAGAGATGTAGTTTGAGTGGATCCCAAAGTCTAAGTTCTGCCTATGGGCATTAAGAGATTTCCCTTAGCCCACCAACTCCAGCCTGACAGCTAGGGAACCAGGATAGGACCAAACTAGGCCCTCTGAATGTAGGTGACAGTTGTATGGCTGCGGCAGACTGTGGGGACACTCGCAGTGGGCCCAGGATTTATCCCTACTGCTTATTTTGGCTTTTTGGAACCCATTTTCTTTGGAGGGATACCATGCTCAGACTAGATATAGAAGGGGAGGGCCTTGGTCCTGCCTCAAAGTGATGTGCTAGGTTTTTTTTGACTCTCTGTGGGAAGCCTCACCCTCTCTGAGGAATGGATGGGGTGAGATAGGAGGAAAGGCAGAGGGAGCAGGAAGAGAGGAGGGAGTGGGAACTGGGATTGATATGCAAAATGAGAAAAGATAGTTTTCTTTTAAAAAATAATTAATTAATTAAAAAAAGAGAGAAATTTCCCTTTAGCAGTGACTGAAGGAAAGACTGAGTATAAGGTCAGAGGCCTAGACCCCCGGACTAGACTACCTGGTTTTGAACTCCTGGCTGTGCCACTAATTGCAGACTTGGGTCTGTTCTCCCATCCATTCCTGCCTCCTTTTTCTTGCTTGTGACATGGGGATGTTGACAGCTACATGTAAAGTTGCTGGGGGAGGGGATTTGACAAATTCTAGAAGAGCCTGGGAGCCTGGTGTTGTTTGCTATGAGTGTTTTCTATGTGATGTGGTCTTCTGAGCTGCGTGTTCTTTGGTCTTATTGTTTACCATCTGCAAGCAGCTTCAGAATCCCCCAACCAGCAGGAACTACCCAAATCTCCACAAAAGAGGGAGTGATGGGACTTTGCAATGGGGGGTTCCAGAAAACTGTTCGCACCGGAATTTGATGTGAAGTGGGGCATCTCTTCTTTCAGGAAGGAAAGACTACGCTAATCACCTTGAAGGCCCCCGGCAGCGGTATTCACCGGGAACAAGCATCCAGCTGAAGTACACATCCTCTGAGTTACCAACGCGTCAGGTTACTGTGACCTGGCTCAAAAACAACCATAGCCTTCTCCAAACCCAGACCAACATCTTATCCAGTGGAGACGGCTACAATGTGACTAGCAGTGTGCTTGTCCCACTGGAGAGCGATGACATCCTCTCCTCAGTTCTCTGCCGGGTTGAGCACAAATCGTTGGTGGTTTTCCAGAAGGTCATCACCTTGGACCAGTACCTCCGTGGTAAGGCTTTCCTCTTTCTGGATAAGGTAATGCTGAGATAGGCTGTGGGCAGCTCTTGGTGTCAGCTTACTCGTGGAGGAATGGCCTTACTTGGTGGTGACACCAGAAACAATCTGTGACGTTCTTAGCGCCATGCTCTGCCCAGACTGACTTGCAGAAGTGGTGTTTGCTGTTGTCATAACTACCCGGATTAACGCAGAATCACTTCCTGCATCTGAAAAACAGATAGAATGTCTACCCTCTGGGATTTGGTTATAGTATTGCTATTCTACAGAAAGAATACTAAAAGGGCTTGGTGGGCGTCTAAAGTGTAGGGACTATGTTGTCCTGAGAATATTACGACCTGGATTTGAGTCTGATTTTTCCTTTTTGTTGTTCTTCACAGGATGCTAGGGACCAACCTATGAGTGTAGACGAACATCCTTAGTCATCATTACATTGGCATTTTCTCCAGTCGTGTTTGGGTCTCTCCTAGGTCTCTAGGCTACCCAGACTCTGGGTCCAGGCAGTGTCAGGGGTGGGCTCATTCTCATGGCATGGGTCTCAGGCTGGACCAGTCATTGGTGGGCTACTCCCACGGTCCCAGCACATCCTATAGGCCAGACAGACTGTAAGTCAAAGGTTATGTAGTTGGCTTGGTGTACCAATGCCTTCACTGGTAGTCTTGCCCGGTCACAGGAAGTGGCCAGTTCAGGCTACATATCCTCTTGCTAGAAGTCTTAGTTGGGGTCTTCCTTGTAGACTCCTAGGAGTTTCCCTTGTACCAGTTTTCTACCAGACCCTGAAATAAGCCCCTTTCCAGTCTGCTCTTTCAGTTCTTCCCCCGATCCCACCCCACCTGATCCCTCATATCCCTGTCCCCACCTGTCTCCAGTCCACCCACAAAACCTCTTCTATTTCCCAGGGAGGCCTCTTTACCCAAGTATTTCTTACATAATTCCCTGGAGTTAGTACAATTCTGTAAGGAAGAGAAGTCATAGAACATAGAAATGTTCACAAATGAACTGATTGCTTATCAAACTAGCTACCGTCTCAACCTTTTCTTACACAGCACATATATCTCCAGCTAGGTTTTCTGTTGTCTTAGGTCTAAAAGCAGGACTTCAGGCCTCAAACCCTGAGTTCCTTCAAGTTGTAATACATAAGGACTTATATTATCTACTCTAGACAAAGAGCTGAAATTTGCCTAATTTAGACATCGGAGAGTTTATTTGGCCTTAGAAAATGTCTTAATTTTTTCAAAATCTCAGAAGCAGAGCAAAAACAGCTTACACAAAGTCTGGTTGACTTTGGCATCAGTGTAGGGCCCAGAACCTAGACCACCCAGCCTTCAGTTTAGTGTGCTGTTCTACCATGCTGCTACTTCATATGAAAACTCCTGTAAAGGATCATATTGGGGTTTTCAACCCTGTGCCCATTGTCTGCCGTTGTGAACACATTGTATTGTATGCTGAAAACTCCAACCAAATCCCTTCCAGAAGCCATCAGATACTAATTTCAGGAGACTTATAGTTTGGTTATCACTATAATATAACAGTAGACATTCTGTCTCTGCAGTAACCCCAAGATTTGCTACATGAGACACTGGACAAATTATTTAACTTCTCCAAACTGAAGAGTCTTTTTTACTATGTAAAAATGTTAGTATCTTGGTCTCTAACACCTAGTGCCTGTGAATCTCCAAATCTTGGGATTATCAAGTCATAGAGTAGGGCAACTGATTTGTAGTTTGCTAAGTGGGTTCGATACATTTTCTATACCTTAAAATGAAAAGAAATATTGGGATGTGTCTTAGCAGCCCATCTTCCCATCCATCTATCCAAACCTGAATTACCACTCTCATCTCAGCATACATTTCTCCATTCATGCACCTGCTAACCAATACTTGCATCTTTATTTGTGGCAGGCACTGGGTTTGGTCCTAGCAGATGACCCCACCCTCAAAGGACTTCCAGTGGATTTCCTGCAGTAATTATTTGCTTTATATGAATTTTTGTCTCAGTTCCTCCTGCAGTGAGAGTGTCCCAGTCTTCTGCTCTCTCCAGTTTGGTGACTGTTACTTGCCATGTGCAGAGATTCTATCCACGGAGTGTGTACGTCACCTGGCTAGTGGATTGCCATGTGTTCAAGAGACTGGAGCAACCTACACCAAAGAGGAATAAGGATGGGTCCTACACTCTGGAAATCTTGCAATTGATAAACACATCAATGCAGAGGCCTGATCAAGTACTCACTTGCAAGGTAGAACATGAGGCACAACCTCCCATCCAGGCCAGCATTATATTTTCTACACCATCCTATATCACGTCCAAAGCCGTTGGGAGCCTAAGTAAGTTCATCTCTTTTCTCTTGTGCATGTTGGGGTCACCTTGGCTTGCTCATTGCACTACAGAAGATTCTAGAAAGATAAGGAGTTAAGGAACTCATTAATGTCTTGTCCAGATTAGGAGTCTGTAGTTTCGTGAATAGGCAGTGGCTTCCTTTAGAGTGGTCACCCAGAATGGTTCTTCTATTTTCATTGGGAGAATGTTCTACCAGTTGAACCCCGTTGAAAATGCCCTAGAGAAAGTTTAGCATAGTGCTGATCCATGAGATCATGATGTTTGTCACTAGCGGCCATGAGATGTTTGTCACTAAGAGTCTGATTTAAAGTAGTCTCAGAAGTATGGGGGTAAGCTTGCCTATACGCCATGCTATAATACTTAAACAGTCATATCTGGGGACTGCCTTTTGCCCACTCTAATAATAATTAATTAATTATTTCTACTTAGTTATTTCACAAACATATAACCTCTATTCACCAGTCTACTTACTTGCAATAGGGTGTGAATCAGGTTTCATAATTTAGAGAATCCTTTTGAGGGCTAGATGTTAATATATAATGTCTATATAATTGATCAATTGTCTATACTAAATGCCAGCCATTACTATTATTTGAATTTATATAAATTGTTTTCTAATTAATTTCCAATAATTACAATTGTGTAAATTTAGGCAACACAATCAACTATCTCTCAGAAATCCCATCTATAAGATGTTACTGATAATGCCAGTGTTCTACGATTACAACAAAGGTTATATTAAGTGACCACTAGACCATGGGGACAAAGCATTGATAACAGTCATGCTGGCACATTGGTGAATGTCAGATCTTTAAGCAGTGTTTGTTGGAAAAATTCAAGGTAATTCACAGGTCTCTTCTTTCTGAGAGCTAACTGTAGAGCAGGGAGCCCAAGGATGAAATGAGAATTGGGAAATACTTGGAACTCCCTGGCTACCCACATCACATAAGTCGTTTCAACTCACGTGACCCCATTCGTTGACCCCTTTGCTCTGTGTATTTTAGGTTCAGAAAAATCTATCCATATTTTTGTGGCTTTCCTCCTGTGCTTCAAGTTACTTCTGGTGGTGAGTGCATTAGCTACCTACATGTATAAGCGGTGGAGCCTGTGACTGGTGAGTTTGAAAATCGGCCTTAGTTCTTAGAAAGTGAGGTCGCAGTCATGGCCATGGGTAGTAGAGGACTTCGGAATAAACATACAGAGGTCACAGGATATGCTTTCAAAGCTTCCCACACATGATATCTAGCCTCAAGAGGAGATTGTAAATCTCCTTAAATACCATTTGGAATTCTTAGAGGCTCCCCAACTGTGTTCAGTGTGTAGTATCCAGGAGTTGGAAAATTTTCTAGTATGTTCCTTGGGATTCTGGGTGTAAGAGTTGAAGATGTGAAAATGAAATAATAATCAAGACCTAAACTTCAAAGAGTCTGCCCACGTGTTGTTAAATTTTACTATGATGTCATCCAATAAGACACATTGAAAAATGGACATACTAAGTGGAGGAAAAGATGAATGTACCTATGGAAGAGCGGCTAGGACTCAGAAGGAGGTGTAAGATGTATAGTACATAGAGGCGTCATTTCTGATATTCCTTTAATAGGGAATTCAGGAGAGATGAGAGAGAGAGAGAGAGAGAGAGAGAGAGAGAGAGAGAGAGAGAGAG